TACAAATGTTGCCCTATGACAATGGTTAACAATCTCACAACACATCAACAATATTCTTACTCAACCTTGGGTTCCCTATCACCAGCTTCCTTGTCCCCGAGAAGAAGCAGTTTTGAGGTGAGACAGAACCCATTTTGAGCCCCAGGGTCCCAGGGAGGTCCTGTGGGGCTGGGGGCAGCTGTGGACAGAGGGAGGAAATGAACCTCCTTCCCAGCTGTGATCTGCTGCATCACGAAGTTAACAGAATCAGGAGAAAAAACTAGCCTCCATCTGTCTGTCAACTGGGCATTCAGGTCACTACTGGCATCCTGGGGGATTGAGGGAACGGGCTGGGGACTGGTAACTTGATTATGACCGTTAGTATGCGCCATCCCGCTGCCAATTCCTCTCTAGTGGGGACTTGCCCCTGAATCTGACCCTCAGTTTCCCCATCTGCAAAATGGGCTTCATGTCACACTAACACTGCTAGAACCATCAGGGGAGTTCTGTGAAGTAATTCCTGGAAACCTCCCAGCACAGCCACTGCTGCTTAGTACACCGGCAACAACAGCAATAATAATAACGAGCAGTTACTGAGCACCTGCTGTGTGCCAGGCACTGTGCTAACCCCACCACAGGCCGGTGAGGCCAGTACAGTTACCATCCCCATTTTACAAATGGGGAAACTGAGGCTCCGAGAGGGGATGACCTGTCCAAGGTCCCACAGCGGGGAAGTGGCAGAGTCAGAATTCATACCTAGCTCTGGAGCCCCACCCTGATGCACAATGGAAGCCGTTGTTTTAAAATCTCTTTTCAGTTAAATATTGTTTGGATAAAACATGGGTTAAGAGGCACAGGGTGGACGTGGCACCCCGAGGGGCTGGGGGAGGCTGGAGGAGGCAGTCTTGGAGGTGGCAATCCAGTTGGCACCTGGAATGCCAGGCGGTGGCTGGGACCTGGACTCGGGGGCCACTGGGAGCCATGGGGGGCTGCAGAGCAGGGGAGGAGCCAGGGACGGAAACCCTTGAGGAAGCCAGGCCGTTCCCTGCACACACGTGGGATCCGGGCGTCCGCTGAGTCACAAATCCTGGAAGTTCAGGTCACAGAGCGGAAGGCCCAGTGGTCCACACAAAGCTTTCCTGTTTTCTGGCCCCGAACGGAGACAGGCATTCCAGGGCCAACATTCCCAAACCACCCTCACCTGCGGGGGCTCGGAATCCTGGGCCATAAGGCCGGGGCAGGACTCGGAGATGTCCCTGCTGCTCAGACGGGGAAACTGAGGCACAGGGCTTGCCCCTGGGCTGCCCAGAAGGACAAGGCTGCGAGATTTCATATTCGGGGTCTCCGGGACATGGACTGCACCCATTTCTGGTAGGGGGTGCCCTGAGCCGGGGCCTTTGGGCATGCACGGCTGGGTCCAAGAGGGTGAGTTCTGTTCATACTCCTGACTCCTGGACGGTTCTCCAAAGTTACCTTGAGCAGAAGTAGGAAGCAGACCACCTCGAGAGGTAGTGAGGGGCCCGTCACAGAGGTATGCGAGAAGACAACAGAAAAGCTGGACTTAGGAAGGAATGCAGACTTACAGGGGCCTCTGTGCGCCCCGGCCAGCTGGAATATTCTGCCATTCTAAACTTATGCAATTCTCAGACTGTGGTTTATAAAACTCCAAGAGCCTCTGATTTTTTTTTTTAATGTGCATGTGTGCCTTTGATTTTAAGATATTTTTGTTTTAATTCTAAGAATTTTAAAATACGTGTTTTAAGATTTTGTGTCTATTATTTATCTTTATTATTAATACTGTAATTTCTAATTACTAATCTAATGCATTTTTGCTTGAAGCCATTACCTGGTCATAAAGTGGTTCTGATAATTAAATAAGTGCTGGGTGGTATAATTATTATTATTGTCGTGGTTGTTGTTCTTGTTATTTTTTATTGCTATCCCAGTGGGGAATTTCTCTGTCAATTGAAAACCAGGTGGGAAGGTCGGGCCCTGCAGCCGTGGGTCGCGCGCGCCCTCTGCCGGCGGAAGTAGGGACTGCAGGGAGCGCCTCACCTCCCGCCTGTCCGCAGGTGTCATCTCTCGCTGCCCCATCCTCGCCATGCGGACCCAGCGAGAGCCCCCCCCTCGTCCGGCCCTGCTGGTCCTGCTGCTGCTACTGAGGGGCTCCCACGGCCTCTTCCCTGAGGAGCCGCCGCCGCTCAGCGTGGCCCCCCGGGACTGTGAGTGGGGGTGGGGGGGAAGGGGGAGCCCCGAGGGAAGGGCTTGGTCCCCAGTTGGGTCTGCTATCCCCCTGGGGAGCTCCCAGAAAAGGCCTGATCTCGAGCTATCCACGTGGGGACACGCGCCACCACCTCCTCACCCTGCCCTGGCTCACACCCCTTCCAACCTCTTCCCCCAGACCTGAACCACTACCCGGTGTTCGTGGGCGGCGGGCCCGGACGCCTGACCTCCGTAGAGGGCGCTGAGGACCTCAACATCCAGCGCGTACTGCGGGTCAACAGGACGCTGTTCATTGGAGAGAGGTATGAGGGCTGTCAGGCAGTGTGTAGGGTGAGCCATGAGGAGTGGGTAAGTAGCGCGCTGAGAAGGAGAGTCTGCATGGTGGGGCTGGGGTGCAGATATGTGTCCCTGGGGTGGGGCTTTTAGGAATGCTCAAAACTGGGTGTGACTGTAGCCTGGAGCATCCAGGGTGTGTTGGTGGGTGGGGATAACCCATAGGTCAAAATTCTCTGGGTGCCTTCACGCATCAGGCCCTGCAGAGCGTGCTGGGTTGATACCCCCGGTGAGTGGGGGTCTGATCAGCAATCAAATAACTACAAACATGAATGTATAATTACAAACCTGGGAAAGGTGCTGTGGGGGTGGTCAGGGAGGGCTTCTCTGAGGACGTGACATTTGAGTTGAGACCTGAATGATGAGTTAGCCATGGGGAGATCTTTGGGGAGGGCAGGACCAGGCCTGGCGAGTTGGAGGAACAGCGAGGAGGCCCCTGTGGCTGGAGTGGAGTGACTGAGGGGAAGAGAGGAGGAGGGGAGGGAAGGGAGGGAACGGGGCAGGTTGTGCAGGGCCCTCTGGGCCGCGCAGAGGACTCGAGTTTTACCGGAGGGAGGTGGCAGCTCTGGAGGGCTGTGAGCGGAGGAGGGACGGGCCTGACTCAGGTGCTCACGGGCGCTCTCTGGTGGCTGCAGGGGGAACCGACTGTGGAAGGCGCGGGCGGGAGCGGGGAACCAAGGTAGAGGCCACTGCATTGGTCCAGGCGGGCGATGATCGGGCTGGACCAGGTGGAGGCAGAGGATGAGGATAAGTAGGCGGATTCGGGATAGAATTTGATGTGGGGAAGCATGTTAGGGTGAGATGAGGTATGTTAGGGGACAGGGAAGCATGTTAGAGCGTGTTCAGTGTTGGAGTTGCTCCGGGGCAGGGGCGTTGGCATGTGCGGACTTGTTACATGTCAGCCTCCACGTCTGCACCGGGGAAGATGGAACACAGAGGGTGGCGGAGGCCCCCCAGTCTTACACTACACCCCTCCCCCAGGGACAACCTGTACCGGGTGGAGCTGGAGCCCCCCACGTCCACGGAGCTGCGGTATCAGCGGGTGAGGAGGGGGCACAGGCGGGGGGGGGGACCTGACACTGCGTCCCTGACCTGCAGGGGTCCTAGGGCGATCAGGGACCCAGATCCTCACCAGCCCCCTTACCCCCAGAAGCTGACCTGGCGCTCCAACCCCAGTGACATCGATGTGTGCCGAATGAAGGGCAAGCAGGAGGTGAGTGGGCCGCCCAGGCTCAGGCCTCCAGCCACCCAACCCCCCAGGCGGCCCTGGACACGCCCCAGGCTATTCATCCTGGCCTTCATCCCTGGCCAGGACCCTGCGTCGCCATGGCTACGCCTAAAGCCTGGCCATGCCCCCAACATCGTCCTTCCTTGTGGCCACGCCCACAGCCTTGGCCTTGCCTATAGCTCCACCGCTAATGCAAAGTATTTCCAGTCTTGGCCCGGCCCTGAGTCACGGTCACGCCTCCAACCAAGTCTTATTTTCCCGCCCGGGACAAGGTCACTCCCCTTTGTGGCACCAGTCTTGGCCACGCCTATGTCCATGGCCCCTCCCAGCAAAACTCTAGATTTGCCCCGGCTCCGCCCTCCTCCCTAGCCACTCCCTGCCACGGCCCCCTGCCCTGGCCACGCCCACAGCCCTGGCTCCTAGCAAAGCCCAGATCTGCTCTGGCGCTGCCTTCTGCCCTGGCCACGCCCACAACCCTGGCCACGCCCACACTGGTCTCCCCGTTCCCCTCCCGCCCTAGGGCGAGTGTCGAAACTTCGTAAAGGTGCTGCTACTTCGCGACGAGTCCACGCTCTTCATGTGTGGCTCCAACGCCTTCAACCCCGTGTGCGCCAACTACAGCGTGAGTCTCCTCCCTTTAGCCTTCCCGGGTCCAGCCTCTAGGCTATGTCACCTCCTACAGGAAGCCTACCAGATACGCCCTTCCCATCCCCTCACCCACAGCAATAGACAGGCAGTGGGGCAGGGGTCAGGTATAGGATTAACTCAGACCTCACCATAACGCTATGGGTAGCATCGGCCCTAAGGAGCCCTAGTGGTGCAGTGGTTAAATGCTTGGCTGCTAATTGAACCCACCAGTGGCTCTGCAGGAAAAAAGACCGGACAATCTGCTCCCGTAAAGATTGTTGTTGTTAGGTGCTGTGGAGTTGCTTCCAACTCATAATGATCCTACGTACAACAGAACGAAACACTGCCCGGTCCTGCACCATCCTCACAATCCTTGCTACGTTTGAGCCCATTGTTGCAGCCACTGTGTCAGTCCATCTCGCTGAGAGTCTTACAGCCTTAGAAATACTATGGGGCAGTTCTACTCTGTCACGTAGGGCTGACTGTGCGTCGGAAAGGAGCCCTGGTGGCACAGTGGTTAAAGTGCTTGGCTGCTGTCTTAGTCATCTAGTGCTGCTCTAACAGAAATCCCACAAGTGGATAGATTTAGCAAAGAGAAGTATATTCTCTCACAGTCCAGTAGGCTACAAGTCTAAATTCAGGGCGTCAGCTCCAGGGGAACGCTTTCTCCGTCAGCTCTGGAGGAAGGTCCGTGTCATCAATCTTCCTTTGGTCTGGGAGCTTCTCTGCGCAGGAGCCTCAGGTCCAAAGGACGTGCTCTGCTTCCGGCACTGCTTTCTTGGTGGTATGAGATTCCTATGTGTCTCTGCTCGCTTCTCTCTTTTATATCTCAAAAGAGATTGGCTTAAGACTATCAGATCTTGTAAACCTCATTAGTGTAACCACGTCACAGTGATAGAATTTACAACACATCAGGAGATCACATGTAACCTCATCATAGTTGTACCGTTTACAACACATAAGGAAATCACATCAGATTACACAATCATACAACACTGGGAATCGTGACCCAGCCAAGGTGACAGATATTTTTGGGGGACACAATTCAATCCATGACAGCTGCTAACCGAATGGTCAGTGGTTCGAATCCACCCAGCGGCTCCACAGGAGAAAGATGTGACATTCTGCTTATGTAAAGATTTACAGCTTTGGAAACCCTGTGGGGCATTCTACTCTGTCGTATAGGGTACCTCTGAGTTGGAATTGACTCGACGGCACGCAACAACAGCATTGACTCTTAGGCCCATTTTACAGATCAGTAAACTGAGGCCCAGAGAGATTAAGAGACTAAATTTACACAGCAATTTATGGTGGGGCCAGGATTCCCCCGAGCTGGGGGCTGGGGGAGTCAGGGCTGCCAGGCACGGCCAAGAGCTTTGTCACTCAGGCCCTGGTCCCTTCTGCAGATGGACACACTGCAGCCCCTCGGGGACAACATCAGTGGCATGGCCCGCTGCCCATATGACCCCAAACATGCCAACGTTGCCCTCTTCTCTGGTGAGTGCCCCTCAACCCTGACTGATCATCGGTGGAGCCCCAGCCTGGGCCAGGGCCTGGCATTTTCCACTCTTGGAATGTGCCATTTAGAGGGTGGCTGGGATCCATCCGTCCAGCTATGAAATGGGCAGTCTTAGCCTGGGGTCAAGGTTCAGTCAAGGTGGGGCTGCACCAGGGTTAAGGCTCAGCCCACAGTCAAGGCTTAGCCTGGGGTTAGAGGCTCAGCCCAGGTTTGGGGCTTGGTTAGGGTCGGGGCTCAGCCCAGGGTCAAGGGCTCTGCCAGGGTCAGGGCTCAGTCTCAGGGCTCAGCCTAAATTCGGGGCTTAGATGGGGTCAGGGTTCAGCCTAGGGATAGAGGCTCAGCCTGGGGTCCTGGCTCAGCCCAGAGTCAGGTATACAGCCTGGGGTTGGGGCTCAGCTCAGAGTCAGGGATTCAGCCCAGGGTCGGGGCTCAGTCTGGGGAGCTTAGTCTTGACCTATCCAGCCCCTGGCCTCTTGGATATGACCTCTCATCTTCCTACCCTCACCCGCCTTCCAGACGGGATGCTCTTCACAGCCACCGTTACCGATTTCCTCGCCATTGATGCCGTCATCTACCGCAGCCTTGGGGACCGGCCCACCCTGCGCACCGTGAAACATGACTCCAAGTGGTTCAGAGGTGGGCCTGGAGGGGCAGTGAGGGCGGACCTGACAGAGCCGAATTCGTCAAATCCCCCCACCAGAATAAGAGTCCCAGAGGAGATGGGGGGGGACTCCCATCTCATCTTTGGAGCCTGCTGGCCTCTTTGATCATGAAGCTAGAGGAGAGATTTAAGTTGGATCTCAGGTAGAACTTGCTGGAAGTGGGTGGCTTAGAAGCCCAAAATGGAACTACAAGAGGGGCATCCAGGAGCTCGGTTCAACATGGGAAGGAGGAAGGTGGCGAAAGATAGTAGATATTGCTGTTTGCGGGAGTAGACATGGTGATGTTACACTTCTGATCCACCTCCTCAGAAAGAACAAGTTTTAGTTCATTTCATTTTGCCTGGATAATCAGTCTAGATCCCCCCTTCACCACAAAAGTGGCCACCCAGACTGATATGTTCTGAGCCTAGAAAGCCACCTGTCATGTTGGGAGCTGGTTCTGACCCCTCCTCTCCTGCAGAGCCCTACTTTGTCCACGTGGTGGAGTGGGGCAGCCACGTCTACTTCTTCTTCCGGGAGATTGCGATGGAGTTTAACTATCTGGAGAAGGTAAGGCCCTGTCCCCCCAGAGGCCTGGGCAGCGGGGCCTGGAGCTGAGAGGCTCTGATTGTGGGGAGTGGTGTGGGTGTGGGGAGCAGAGGGGGATTCATGAAGCTCCACCTGGGGTCCTTCATCTCTGGTCCTCAGGACCTTCACCTTGGGCCAGGAGCTGTCCCTGAGGCTGGAGGACATTTAGGGAGCAGCCTTGGTGTACACAGCTCTGGGGAAGGGACACAGGTTTGAAGTCAGATAGGCCTCTGTCTTCCAGTCCTGGTGCTATTGCTATCCACCTATCTACCCACCCATTTACCTCCATTTATCCATCCTTCATCCATGTTTCATCCATTGTCCATCCAAATACCCATTCACTATCTAGTCATTCAGCCATTTATCTGTTCTCCAGTCCACTCCACTTCCATTGACCCATTTATACATCTACCCATCTGCCACTGACTCATCATCCTCCATCCTCCCTTCCTCCTTCCCTCCCTCCATTCACTCATCTACCCATCCATGAACCCATTTATCTATCTGTGCATCTCCAGCTCATCCACCTATTCATCCATCCATCCACCCACCCAATCACCTATCCATCATTCATCCGTCCATTTATCTATTCATCCATCCATCTATCCTTCCCTCCCTCCCTCCCTCCATCCATCCATCCACCAGTCCCCTCATTCATCCATCCTCCCTATCAACTTATCCATCCACCATCCATCTCTCCATCTACCTTCCCACCCTTCTATGTACCCATATATCTAGTCATCCATCTTCTCCGTTAATCTACTCATTCATTCCATTCAACCTTCTATCTACTCACCCATGTATCCATCCATCCATCCACTTGTCTGCCCATCCATTGATCCATCATCATCTCCTTCCAGTTCATTCATTCATTTACCCATCCACCCATTCATCCCTCCATGCATTCATCCATTTATCTGCTCATCCATCTGTCCATACATCCTCCCACCCACCCATCCATTTATCTACCCATCCATCCACCTGTCTACTGATGCACTGATTCATCATTATCTTCTTCCAATTCATTCATTCATCCAACCATCCATTTTCTCATTTCTCTATGCAACCATCATTTTTGTGCTTGTCCACTCATTTCTTCCTCGCTCCCTGCATCCATCCACCCATCATTCTATCCATCCATCCATCCACCCATCATTCCATCCATCCACCTATCATTCCATCCATTCATTCACCACCCATCCATCTACCACTCATCTATCCCTCCCTTCATTCATCTATCCATTCCTCCCTCCTTCCACTTACCTATCCATCCACCCCTTTATCCTATCCCTCCATTCACCCACCTATTTATCTATCCCTCCTTCCATCCACCTACGCACCCACCCACCTACTTAACCATCCATCCAGCCAAGCAGCGAGACAGAAGTTAAGAGTTTGGACTCTGCCATTTGCACCAGTGTGGTCTTGGGCCAGTCATTTCCCTTTCTCTGTGCCTCAGTTTCCCATCTGTACAATGGGGATGTCAGCAGGCCCTCTCTCATAGAGCTTTGGGTAGAATGTAAGAGACGAGAATGAACCAGCCAGTACATAGTACGCAGTCTGTAGTGGAAGCAATTATGTTGGTCCTTGTTGCTGTTGTCACTGTTGTCATCCCTGCATTTCTGCTGGGGAAGCTGGTATTTAGTGGTTCAGTGACAGGCGGGGTGCCACAGTGAACTGGAGTCAGACCCATCTGCCCTCTCTGCCTCCTCCATGACCTGGTTGGCGGGCAGCACGTCCTGTGGGACTCAGGCCCCCATCTGTTCTCTGTCACGCCAGGTGGTGGTGTCCCGTGTGGCCCGGGTGTGCAAGAATGACGTGGGGGGCTCCCCTCGTGTGCTGGAGAAGCAGTGGACGTCCTTCCTGAAAGCACGCCTCAACTGCTCGGTGCCCGGAGACTCCCACTTCTACTTCAACGTGCTCCAGGCCGTCACGGGCGTGGTCAGCTTGGGGGGCCGGCCCGTGGTCCTCGCTATCTTCTCCACTCCCAGCAACAGGTCAGCGGGCGCCAGTGGGAGCAGACTGGGGGCATTTGATGCATGTGGGCAGGAAGGTCGTGCATTCTTTTTTACTTTTTTGTTGGTTTTGAGTATACGCAGCAGAACATACACCAATTCAACCGTTTCTCCATGTACAATTCAGTGATATTGATTACATTCTTTAAGTTGCGCGACCTTTCTCACCCACCTTTTCTGAGTTGTTCCTCCCCCGTTGACATAAACTCACTGCCTCCTAAGTTTCCTATCTAACCTTTCGAGTTGCTGTTGTCAATTTGATCCCATATAGGTAGATCTTAAAAAAGCACAGTGCTCAAGGCAGACATTCTTTATTAGTTAAGTTAAACTGTTGTTAGGTTTAACGAAGACATCAGGGGATATTTTTGGTTTAAGATTTAATGATCATCTCAGGCCAGTAGTTTCAGGGGTTCATCCAGCCTCCATGGCTCCAGAAAATCTAGATTCCATGAGAATTTGAAATTCTGTGCTGCATTTTCCCCTTTTTGATTGGATTCTTCTGTAGAATCGTTGATCAAAACATTCAGTGATGGTAGCCGGGCACCATCCAGTTCTTCTGGTCTCATGGCAAAGGAAGCAGTTGTTCATGGAGGCAATTAGCCACGTGTTCCATGTCCTCCTCCTATTCTTGACTCCCCTCCTTCCTCTGTTGCTAAGTCCTGCATTCTGTCATCAGATATTCCCTGGGTCCTAGGCTGGGCAAGATGGGACCCTGAGAGGCCTTGGGCCTGGGATGTGGGTGGGACAAAGCCAGACCCTGACTCTCCAAGGCCCTTTGGTCAGAATGGGGCAGATGGAGGACAAGGGCTCTGCCTTTGAGAGAGGGGCGCAGGAAAGGCTTCCTGGAGGAGGGGGCGTTGATACTAGGCTTTGATGGGTGTGAGATGGAGGAAGAGGGAAGAGTGTTCCAAGGCAGAAGAACAGCACATGCTAAGGTCCTGAGGTTGGAATGAGCTTGGTGTGTTTAAGTAATAGCACGAAGTGGGGGTGGCTGGGCTGGAGGGAGCAAGGGGGAGAGTGGAGGATATGAGGACAGGGAGGTGATGCATCAGATCACATAAGGCCTTGTGGGCCGCAGGGAGGCACCTGGACTTTATCCTGAGACTACTAGGGAGCTATGGCAGAGTAAGGAGCAGGAGAGGGACAAGGTCAGAGTTGTGTTTTCAGAAAGCCCCCTGGGAAATGGGCTGAAATGCGTAAGAGTGCCAGCTGGGAGACTGGACAATGGGTGCCTGGACCAGCGGGTAGCCATGGAGGAGCTGAATTAGGGTTCAGTTTAGGAAGCTGTTCAGGGGGCAGAGTGACTGGATTTGGCGGGTGGGGGGACAGGGAGAGAGAATATTCTGACGGCCCCCGGGACAAGGACTCCTCCACACACATGCCCGAGGCAGTGTCCCCTCCCCGGCTCACCACACTTTTATCTGACACCCACCCCCCAGCATCCCCGGCTCGGCCGTCTGCGCCTTTGACATGACGCAGGTGGCTGCTGTGTTCGAAGGCCGCTTTCGAGAGCAGAAGTCCCCTGAGTCCATCTGGACACCTGTGCCGGAAGATCAGGTGCCTCGGCCACGGTAAGAGCCCTTTAAGTCCCGTGACAGGTGCCTGGGGAGTGGGGTCCTGGTCCCCAAGACCCAGAGCCAGGACTTCCAGATGTTTAGCCCTTTCTGAGTCCAAGCTTACCCATTACACAGATGGGGAAAACTGAGGTCATTAGGCGGGCCCCCTAGTGAATCAGCTGGGTGTGGCTGCTCTGTGGGAACCCCAAGTCTGTCCTGACCACCCCTCAACCCGCAGGCCTGGGTGCTGTGCGGCTCCTGGCATGCAGTACAATGCTTCCAGCGCCTTTCCCGACGAGATCCTCAACTTCGTCAAGACGCACCCCCTAATGGACGAGGCCGTGCCCTCGCTGGGCCACGGGCCCTGGATTGTGCGGACACTGATGCGGTCAGTCCCCACACATGGCCGGGATCCTGGTGGGACAAGGGGTGGGCACAGAAACCCAAGCCAGCGTGGCAGGGGGATCAGGGGGCAGATGGGGGCAGGGAGGAGATGGGGGTGACCAGCCTGTCCCACCTGGCCCAAGGACGCCTGGCTGAGTCAGACATTCGATGCAGCCAAGCACAGGGACTTCCAGGGGCTGCCCAGAGAGATGAAGACAGAGAGACATGGAGAGAGCCAGGGGGAAAGAGATGGACAGAGAGACACACGCATGTACCAGCAGAGAGAGAGAGAAAGACATGGAGAGAGACACACACCCCAGGAGAGAGAGAGAAAACAGAAAGGGGAGAGACAGAGAGAGAGAGAGATATTGAGAGGTACATACCAGGGCAGAGAGAGAAAACAGAGAGAGGGAAAAATAGAGACTGTGGAGAGAGAAAGAGAGGGAGACAGACAGGCATCACACACACACACACACACACACACACACACAGAGAGCAAACAGACTAGAGACAGAAAGAAATGGGAAGAGAGGGAGAGAACAGAGACGGACACAGACTCAGACAAAGCGCGAGAGGGCATCAGAGCGGAGACACCCAGAGAGAAAGGGCGAGAGCGGAGAGACAGCCCAGGTGGAGAGATCTGTTCACGGGTCTGTTTCTGTGCTGTGCACACAGGCAGGGCTTGATGTGTCCTCTGCTCCTGGCAGGCGTTTACCATGTGACATGAGCCCATGTACATGCGTGTTTGTTGCTGTCACGCGTGTCGGCGTGTTCATGTCCGTGGGCACCTGTGTAACCACGGCCATACTGCTGTCCACTGGCCTGGCCTGGCTGATGCCGCTGCGGGCTGCCTGGGGGAGCACAGGGCACTGGGGGGACCAGCCTGACCCTGCCCTGCCCCGGTCCCCAGGCACCAGCTGACACGGGTGGCCGTGGACGTGGGTGCTGGCCCCTGGGGCAACCAGACCGTTGTCTTCCTGGGATCCGAGGCGGGCACTGTCCTGAAGTTCCTCATCCGGCCCAACGCCAGCACCCCGGAGACCGCAGGCCCTACTGTCTTCCTGGAGGAGTTTGAGACCTACCGGCCGGACAGGTGGAGCCAGGCAGCAGCCGGGCAGTGGGGAGTGGGCAGGAAGATGGGGAGGGCCCCCCGAGACTCACCACCCTGACACCCCCAGGTGTGGACAGTACAGCAGTGGCAAGACAGGGCGGCGGCTGCTGAGCTTGGAGCTGGACGCGGCCTCGGGCAGCCTGCTGGCGGCCTTCCCCCGCTGCGTGGTCCGTGTGCCGGTGGCCCGCTGCCAGCAGTACTCGGGGTGCATGAAGTGAGTGACCCCCAACTCCAGCAGCAGGTGGGACGGGAGGGGGAGATGAGCATGGGAAGACAGGGAGCTCGGGCTCTGGGGCTGGAGCGTTGGGTTCAAGTCAAGGGCCCCAGCACATCCTGTGTCAACCAAGCAGAGAGAACAGCCCATGCAAAGGCCCTGGGGCAGGACAATGCCTGGCGAGTTGGAGGAACAGTGAGGAGGCCGTGTGGCTGGAGTGGAGTGAGGGAGGAGGAGAGAGGAGACGAGGGCAGGAAGGGGATGGGTAGGTCGTGCAGGGCCTTGTGGGCCACGGGGAGGACTTGGGCTTTTACCTGAGGGCGGTGGGAGCCCTGGAGGGCTGTGAGCAGAGGTGGGGTGGGGCGTGACTCAGGTGCTCACTGGCGCCCTCTGGCGGCCGCGTGGAGAATAGTCTTCTGGACGACGAAGCACAAACCGGGGACCCAGGAGGCGTTTCCTGTCTCCAAAATGGGAGGGAAGGGCAGATTCATGGACCGCGCTTGGCACACACCTAGAGTCAGCATGAGCCCTCAACACAGGTGAACCCCTCGTCCCCCCTACCAGCCTGCCGTCATTGCAATAATGACCGACAGCAGAATCAGCGTCAAGGGCACAGGCTTCGGAGTAGTTTGTGCTACTGCCACCCCGAAGTCCATTTTCCCCGCAGCAGCCAGAGGGCGCCCGTGAGCACCTGAGTCAGGCCCGTCCCTCTCTGCCCACAGCCCCCCGGGGCTCTCACCTCCCTCAGGGTAAAGCCCAGCTCCTCTCTGTGGCTCCAATCCCAGCTCCACCGAGTGAGCAAAATTAACCTTCCCAAGCCTCAGTGTTTTCATCTGTGAAATGGGCCCGAGGAACCCCCACGTGGGAGATTTGTCACGAGGACTCGAGGCGTTGCTATTGAGAGGAAGGTGCTCGGGGTAGGCCCCGGTGCACGTAAGCACATGTAAGCGACCCCTTGTTACCTGACCCCGCCCGCCCACTCTAGGAACTGTATCGGCAGCCAGGACCCCTACTGCGGATGGGCCCCAGACGGCTCCTGCATCTTCCTCAGCCCCGGCACCAGGTACTGCGGGAGGAGGGGTGTGCCTGACCCGCCCCCCTTGACCAGGAATCCTCCCCTTGCCCCCTGACCCCCAGCCCTGTGAGGGGGGCTCTCTGCTGACGGTGCCCCCTTTCCTCATTAGAGCCACCTTTGAGCAGGACATCTCTGGGGCCAGCACCTCAGGCTTAGGGGACTGCACAGGTAAGTGGGGGAAGGGGACGCCAGGCTGGGCTCCCTCCCTGCCTTTGGGGGCGGGGAGGTAAGGAGGCCTGGGGACCCTTGGGGGGACTGGTCTCCATCAGGGCTGTGGCGTGGGCAGGGGTGGTCCCACTTCTGGGCGGGAGAGTAGGAGAAGGACCGACAGGCCCTGGGGCTCAGAGACGCCCAGAGACAGGCTTTGAAAAGGACCTACAGACAGATAAGCTCTGTAAGAGACACCCCAAGGTAGACAGATGGACAGACAGGCTTTGAGAGGACAGACAGACCCCAGGGACAGAGAGACGCTGAGAGACAGACCCCAGGAGACAGAGACAGATGGGTGGACAGACAGGTTTTGAGAGGCCAGACATATTCCAGGGGACAGAGAGATGTCAGGAGTCAGACCGACGGGCTGTGGAAGGTAGGGACAGAGAGACAACCCCAGGGAGGGGCGGGGCCGGTGCTGCCCTGCCGGCCTGACCCGCCCCTCCCGCCAGGGCTGCAGCGGGCCAGCCTCTCCGAGGAGCGTGCCGGGCTGGTGTCGGTGAACCTGCTGGTGACCTCGTCGGTGGCGGCCTTCGTGGTGGGCGCCGTGGTGTCCGGCTTCAGCGTGGGCTGGTTCGTAGGCCTCCGTGAGCGGCGTGAGCTGGCCCGCCGCAAGGACAAGGAGGCCATCCTGGCGCACGGCGGCGGGGAGGCCGTGCTGAGCGTCAGCAGGCTGGGTGAGCGCCGGGCGCCGGGCCCGGGCGGCCGCAGCGGTGGGGGCGTCGGTGGCGCCGGGGGTCCCCCCGAGGCCCTGCTGGCCCCGCTGATGCAGAACGGCTGGGCCAAGGCCACGCTGCTGCAGGGGGTACCGCACGACCTCGACTCGGGGCTGCTGCCCACGCCGGAACAGACGCCGCTGCCCCAGAAGCGCCTGCCCACGCCGCACCCGCACTCCCACGCCCTCGCCCCCCGCGGCTGGGACCATGGCCACCCCCTGCTCTCCGCCTCCGCCTCCTCCTCGCTCCTGCTGCTGGCCCCGGGCCGGGCCCCCGAGCAGCCCCCCGCGGGTGAGCCGGCCCCCGATGCCCGCCTCTACACCGCCCGGCCCGGCCGCGCCTCCCACGGCGACTTCCCACTCACCCCCCATGCCAGCCCAGACCGCCGGCGGGTGGTGTCAGCACCCACGGGCCCCTTGGACCCAACCTCAGCCGCCGACAGCCTCCCTCGGCCCTGGAGCCCACCCCCGACGGGCAGCCTCCGGAGGCCGGGCCCCCACGCCCCGCCGGCCGCCGCCCTGCGCCGCACGCACACTTTCAACAGCGGTGAGGGCCGGCCCAGCGACCATCCCCGGGGCCGCCACGCCCGGCCGAGCACGGACTTGGCGCACTTCCTCCCCTATGGGGGGACAGACAGGACTGCACCCCCCGTGCTCTAGGGCAGGGCTCCGTACGCCTTGCCAGTACCAGCCACAGGACCCAGGAGCGAGAGATGGCGGAACCCCAGGCCCAGCCCAGCTCCGCGTGGGTGCTGAAGACCCCCGCCCCACCCTCGTGGGGTGGGGGGCTCCCTCTGCCACCCGGAAGCACAATGAGCTCTCCCCCGACCCGGCATCGCCGAACACGGAGAAGGTTGCGGGGCAGGGAGGGGCGGGAGGATTTGCTCTTATTTGAGATTGACCTGATGCGTAGATTTTGATTTCTTTCTAAGGTTTGGTTTCTTTGGCGTTTTCTAACCAATTGCACAACTCTGTTCTCGGGGGTGGCGGCCAGGGGGCTTTGGGGGGGCTAGAACCACCCACCCAAGCCGCCCCCCCAAAGGTCCCTCCTCAATCCAGGCCCCCAGCGTGTGTGGGTGTGTGTGTGTGTGCATGCTGTGTCCGTGTGTGAGGGGCCAGGGAGCAGAGGGAGGCATGTGTGTGTGCCCGTGAGGGCTGCTGCTGGCGTGTGCATGGGGGTGGGCCGCGTGTGCGGGGGGTGTGTGTGTCCGCGTGCGAGCGTGGCAGCGGTCCCAGCAGCCTGAGTGTTGGCTGAGCCAACACTGGGGCTTTGAAAAGGCCAGGGGCCTCCAGGGTGCCGGTTGGGAGTTTGAACCCCAGCTCTGCAGAAGGAAGGAGGCATATGAGGGGGTTCCAGGTAGGGGGACGGGGTGGGCCTGCCCAGAACTTAATGTTGTCTAAAGGGCTCTGGGGTCTGGGGGGCGGCGGAGGCAGGCAAGCGCCCCTGTAAATATGGCCCCAGGGTGGTCAGAGGGTCCCGAGCCACCTGTCCCCTTGTGACCTCCCCCCTTTGACCTCCAGCTGACCGTGCATGCCACGTGGCCAGCTGAGTTCTGGACCCACTCTGGAGTTTGCCTCCCCCAAACCCTCCCCATCAATAAAACTCTGTTTACAACCACCGGCCCCCATGCCTCTGTCTCTGCTTTGTGTCCTGGGGTGAGGACCTGAACAACAGTGTGGTCCTGGGCCATTAGGAGACCCATGGCCAGGTCACAACAGAATGCATTTATTGTCATGGGCAGGCACGGCAAGTCTCGAGTGCAAGTAAAGATAGCACATCACATATGAATATTTAGAACTCAACAAGAAGGAAAGCACTACAGAACCAAACTTGTCAGATACAGCCAAAGCAGCTCTCAAAGGGAAATTCATAGCCTCCAAATGCATTTATTAGGAAATGAGAAAGATCAAAAATAAATATCACATTAACCTCAGATGAAGAAAGAAAGAGCAAAAGGGGCCCTCAGAGATTGAGTTCAACTTCACAGATGAGGAAACTGAGGCCATGAAAAGTTAAGTCACTTGCCCAAGGTCACAAAGCAAAGCAAGCTCATGGCACAGCTAGGATTCAGAACCACGTTGAGTTCCTCCAGAGCCATTGGTCAAAGACCGTGGTGATTTTTCATAAGACTCCCTTTTGAACTCTACTTTTTTTTTTTTTTTTCATTAAAAACAAACCAAAACAATAGGCCATGGACTTAAGTTGTTCTTTTTAATGAGTTTCCTGGTAACTCAAGTTTATTGTAAATTGTGCTTCTTGCTCAAAGAAATGTCCCCACCCTCCTGCCCCAGGGATGGTACTGTGCGAGCCTGGCCATGCAAGCCTCAGCCCCAGCAGGAAAAAAGAGAAGGAGAAACTGGATAGAAACAGGGCCAAGACAGGCACGGACAGCCTTCCTTCTGCCACCTCCCCTCCTCTCTGTGCCAGGAAGCAATTTCACAACCCTGACCCTCCCTTTCCTCTGCCTGGATCAAGTTCAACCCCAAGTGGGATGGGGTTAGCTATTGCCTCATAGTTGGTTCCCCCATCCCTAGCCCAGGCAAGTATAAAGCCACTTCCCCAGGTCAAAGGAACCCAGAAGGAAGAGAGAAGGGTCACCATGTCTTCCCGGAGCCAAGAGCAAAACCAGAGGTAAGTCCTCACCCCGCCCAATTGGGCAGACCTGGAGATACACGGACACTCTGCCAGACCAGCAGAAATCACAGGAACAGGGAGGTACCTGGGCCACAGTGACCAAGGTTGTACAGGTGGTTCCTGGTGCTGCTGGGCCAGGGCAGCCATTGCTGGATGGACCAAGCAGAGCAGGAGAAGCCCCAGCTCCCCAGATGGGGTGCCCACTGTAGACCACCCCCTCCCAAGGTCAAATGCCCACCCCTAGCCTGCCCCAAGCAAAGCGTACTTTTCATGTTCAGAGTCACCTGTTTGCACCGGGAACCCTGGGTTGGTGGGGGTCACCCAGCTGACCAACATGGATACCCCCTTGTGCCTGGCTTCATGCTGACAGATGCTGGGAACCCAGGTGGCCCCTCTGTCAAGGACCCTCCATGCTCGGGAGATGGAACCAGACAGACATCCTGTGTGTGGTCAGGGCTAGAAAGAAAGAGGAGTAGCTCAGAGGGGGAACTGAGAGCTCTGCTTGGGGAGGGCACAGAAGGCTTCATGACAAGGGAGCGTGGGAGCTGGGGTTTTGCAGGACAAGTAGGAGTTCACTGGCTCGGTCTTCAAAACACTAAGCCAGGGAGATAAGAACTGACAGAAAACCAGCCAGATCAGAAGAAGCTAGCCAGATGGACCTCAAATAATGAATAGTCTCCTGGGGCTGAACTGGCAAGGAAGGAGGGTAACGTTTAGGAGTTAGACTCAGACACTCAAGTTTCACAGAATTAGAATTCTCCCTGGGACAGGGGGTCGCTTCTGGCAGCTGTGGGGGGCAAGGGTGGAAGCTGAGAAGAGGATGAGGTGATTATACTAGTTTAGGTAAGTGATGAGGTGGCACAGACCAGGTGATGGTGTTGGAGATGAGAAGGAAGTGGGCAGACTCTGGGTATATTTTGATACTGCTGTGCCACCTTGGCTTATTAATAATCATTGTCTGCAGCCCAGGGGGCCTTGACCCCTATCTTTCTAGAACCCTGTTCCTGCTGTTGCTGTTAGCGGCCTCAACCCCGAGCGCCAAAGCCTGCCTGGTGTACAATTCGGGCAACGGCAGCTCCATCAACTGTCACCCGACCGCCGAACCTCCCCACCACCTCCCAGCCGACACTGTCTACCTGGCGGTGGAGTTCTTCAACCTGACCCAGCTGCCAGCCAACATCCTCCAGGGCGCCTCCAACCTCCAGGAATTACACCTCTCCAATAATCGGCTTGAAAACCTCTCGGCTGAGTTCCTGCTGCCCGTGCCCCAGCTGAAGGTGCTGGATCTGACCCACAACGCTCTGTCCCAGCTGCCCGCTGGCCTCTTCCAGGCCTCTGCTGCCCTCCACACCCTGGTGCTGAAGGAGAACTGCCTGGAAGTCCTGAGGGCCTTGTGGCTGAACGGCTTGAAAGCTCTGGCGTATCTGGACCTGTCTGGGAATCGCCTCCAGATGCTGCCCCCTGGGCTGCTGGCCAACCTCACGGCCTTGCAAATCCTTGACCTCGGCGACAACCAGCTGGAGGTCTTGCCCTCTGACCTCCTGAGGGGCCCGCTGCGGTTGGAAAGGCTACATCTGGAAAGTAACAGGTTGAGGGTTCTGGGAGGGGACCTGCTGGCGCCCCAGCCGGGCCTACGCTACCTCTTCCTGCAGAATAACAGCCTGGCCACTGTGGCTGCCGGCGCCTTTCAGGGCCTGAAGGAGCTGGACATGCTGGACCTCTCTGACAACTTGCTGACCAGCGTGCCCACGGGGCTCTGGGCATCCCTGGGGCAACCCGCCCGGGCCATGAAGGAAGGCTTTGACATTTCCAGCAACCCCTGGGTCTGCGACAAAAACCTGGACGACCTCTATCGCTGGCTCGTGGCCAACAATGACACGATGTTCTCCAGGAAGGACACACTCTGCGCTGGGCCTGAAGACATGAAGGGGCGGGTACTCCTGGAAGTGGCCAGGTCCCAGTGAGGCACGGGGACGAGGTTGAGGGGACACTGCACCCCACTCTGCAAATAACCCCACCCTTTCTAGGTGTGAGACTTGAGGCTTTTCCATAGTCGCCTCCAAGCCCTTTTGACCCAGGTTTGTCAAAATACATCTGGGGCCTTCTGGCCTCCCTGCCTCTACTCCAGCTGCGTTTTCTGTCTGAAACACCTCTTCCTCTTCCTCTTGGCCTCGGGCCCTCCCAACCTCCTCCTGGCCTTGCTCTCAGGGTGTCTTTGTCTAGCTCTGTCTTCCCCAGATTGGGGGGCTCCCTGAGTGCAGGTCCTGGGGCTGAGTCCCCTCGTACCCAGCATCACTCAGCTTGAGGCCAGATCTGAGGGGTTTAATAAAGAACCATTGAACGGAATTGAAGGAATCCATATACATTGTGCTCTTTGCATCTCCCAGTTGGCTTCCTAGGCCTCCAGGATGAAGGAGGGAGGAGGAGGGCTACCCAGAGCCTGGAGTGCGGGACATAGGCTCCCCAGCTGATAGCAATTGGGATCCGATGGCTGCTGTCTCCTCCTCCTCCTCCCCCTACCCCCGGGCTGAACTGGAAATAAGACTCTGACTGTTGCCCGGCTGTTGTTTTCCTGGTGGACTTCTGCCAGAGCCCGTGTCCCAGTGAAGGTTTAAATTAAACCAGATTGCTTCACGTCTCCAAACAATCTGTCCTGCTGGCCCGCGATTGCCCCAGGGGGCTCCCACCCAGGACAAGAGTGGGGAGGATGGTTGGGGCTGAAGGAAGGGCAGGGGCATGAGAGGCTGTGTTCTCCCAACTCAGACACCAGAGCCAGCTGCCAACTCAGCGTTGGGCATGGTGGGGGTCAGGGCAGATTTGGGGGACCCTAGAATGTTGGGAAGGAGTCCAAGTGGTGCAGAGGTTAAAGCACTCAGCTGCTAACCAGAAGGTCAGTGGTTCAAACCCACCAGTCACTCCACGGGAGAAAGATGTGGCAATCTGTTTCCGGAAAGATTTACAGCGTCGGAAACCCTATGGGACAGTTCAACTCTGTCCTATAGGGTCGCTGTGAGACAGAATTGACCTGACGGCAGCAGGTTTGGGATGTTGGGGCACCAAGTACCAAAATAGTGATGCCCACTTCTTTCAGATGCCATGGAAGTGGGGTGGTGCCCAGGTTGGCAGGGTGTTTTGATGAGAGCTGGGTTTGAGTCGGATCCCTCTTTTGCTGTGGGTTCTGAGGCAAGTAGTTTAAGCTTTCTGAGCCTCGGTTTGCCCATCTGTAAAATGGGGATTCAAGGAAATGGGCCAGCCTGGCTTTTAGGTTAGCTAAACCAAAATAAAGAAATAAACCCCGTTGTCATGGACTTGATTCAGACTCATCGCAACCCCATGTGTGGTGCAAATGGTTTGCACTGGACTACTAACATAAAGGAGCCCTGGTGGCACAGTGGTTAAGAGCTTGGCTGCTAACCGAAAGGTCGCCAGTACGAATCCACCAGCTGCTCCTTGGAAACCCTATTGGGCAGTTCTACTCTGTGCTATAGGGTCGCTATGAGTTGGAATCGACTGGAGGGCAATGGGTTTGGTTACTAACCTAAAGAATGGGGGTTTGAACCCACCCATCAGCTCCATGGAAGAAAGGCCTGGTGATCTGCTTCTGTAAAGGTGACAGCCAAGAAAACCCTATGGGTCTTGGGGGACATCTAGCTCAACTGGCATAATATAGTTTATAAAGACAATGTTCTACATCCTACTTTGGTGAGTAGTGTCTGGGGTCTTAAAATCTTGTGAGCGGCCATCTAAGATACTTGACTACTTCCACCCCATCCAGAGCAAGGGAGAATAAAAAAAAACAAAGACACAAGGGAAAGATTAGTACCAAGGGCTAATGGACCACAACTACTACAGCCTCCACCAGACTGAGTCCAGCACAACTAGATGGTGCCCGGCTACCACCACCGACTGCTCTGACAGGGATCACAACAGAGGGTCCTGGACAGAGCTGGAGAAAAAATAGAACAAAATTCTAACTCACAAAAAAAGACCAGACTTGCTGGTCTGACAGAGACTGGAAAAATCCAAGAGTATGGCCCCAGACACCCTTTTAACTCAGTACTGAAGTCACTCCTGAGGTTCACCCTTCAGCCAAAGATTAGGCAGGCCCATAAAACAAACAATAATACACACGTATAGGAGACTCAATGGGCACACCAGCCCAGGGGCAAGGACGAGAAAGCAGGAGGGGACAGGAAAGCTGGACAAATGGAAATGGGGAACCCAAGGTTGAGAAGGGGAGAGTGTTGACATGTTGCGGGGTTGGCAACCAATGTCACAAAACAATACGTGTATTAATTGTCTAATGAGAAATTGATTTGCCCTGTAAACCTTTATCTAAAGCACAATAAAAAAGGAAAACCCTATGGGGCAGTTTTACTCTGTAACTCACGGGGCCGCCATGATGGCTTAGTTAAGTGGCAGATAAAAAAATAAATAAAAAGAAAGGCATCGGGAACTTGCCCAAAGTCATTCAAGTAGGTGGCAGGAGCAGTAATCTCCCTCCACTGTCTCCGCAGCAACAGCAGGGTGGGTGACATGTGGCCAAATCTGCGCCGGACAGAAGCAGCCCAGTCCGTGGGCACGCAGCGTCCTCGGTTGCCGTGGCAACCGCAGGGGGCTCCCCAGTCCAAGGGGAGGGCGAGGAAAGCCTGGAGTCCCGCCCCGGAGCCAAGCCCCGTCCCTTGGGCTCGCCCCCCGAGTAGCCCTTCCCCATTGGCCAGTCCCTCAGAGGCTCACCCCCAGCGAGCTGCTATCAGGTGGGCGGGGCCGGCAGGAGGGGCGGAGACTTGAGTCCGCGACTGGAGTCCGCGGAGGCATTGCGGGACTGAGGCTTTGTGCGCCCAGGTGAGTGGCGGCCAGGAGCAGCCCGCAGTCTCGTGGGGGGACCCTGGGGCTGGCGGGAGAGGGTCTGGGGGCGTGAGGCGAAGGGCAGGGCGACGGATGACCGGAACAGGTGTTTGAGACCCTTGGCCTAGTTGGCTGAGGTTCAGGACACAGTTGAGAGGAGACCAGGGCTCGGAGGGCACGGAGTGAAGCCGGGGGAAGAACCGCAGGCCTGGAGTCCGAAGTCTGAGGTTGTGCTCCCCGCTCTGACCTGGCTAACTGAGTGACCGTGAGCTCAGCAAGGGCCTGCTGAGTGCCTCAGTTTCCTTGTCTGTCAAACGGACTACGGGTTTATTGGGATTCTGTAGCTACCACCTCCACCCCTGCCTGGGGCTGCTTCTGTCCCGGGGCAGGGGCGGCAGGGACCTTCCCCATTTTACAGAGGAGGATACAGCCCAGACAGGTGAAGGCCGCTTACCCAAAGTCACGTAGCAGGTAACGTCAGAGCTCAGACTCATCTCTCTGAGCCCAAGACCCGTGCTTTGAACCACTAGAATGCCACAATGCCCTGCCTTGCCAGAGGCTCTCTAGTGTGCACCTACTGTGTGCCAGGTCTTGTCTGTGCCCCACACCACCCTCCGAGGTCAGTATTATCATTACCCCGTTTTGCAGATGAGGAAACTGAGGCCCCAACCCGAGTCACAGAGTACACCCGGACAGAGCTCAAAACCTTGGCAGGATCAGGGAGGGCTGGAGTGCAGGGACCCCCCCCCCTCACTCTGTCCTGCCCCCTAGGCTGACCCTTTTTGCAGCGGGTATGTCTGAAGACGAGACAGCTCAGGCTCCCAGGCCCAGATTGTTGGAGCAGAAACAGCAGGTGAGGGGCTGCCGCCGCGCTCCTGTGGAGCAGGGACACAGGGAAGGGTGGGATGACAGTCCCTCCTGGGACAGTTTCATGCAGAATGCCCCCTCCCATACCCACGCTTGCTGGGAGCACTTGACTCAGGGCATTTTGGACCATGGGGTGGGCTGGTACATCCTGCCCATTTCCCAGAAGGGGCACAGTGAGGCCTGGGGAGGGGAGGATCTCCCCAAGAACACTCAGCAGGCTTACCTGACCTCTGCCCAACTCTCTCCCCCTGCAACCTCTGGGTCTCTGCCTGTATTTCTTGGTCTCCATGTCCACCATCATGGCACCCTTAACAACAACAACAACAAAAGTAATAATAATAGCAGCGATCCCAGCATACACTTGGCGTCAGTCACTGTTCCACACATTTCACATATATTGTCCCATTTAATCCCCATTACAATCCTAGAAAAGGAGCCCTGGTGGTGCAGTGATTGAGCACTCATCTGCTAACAGAAAGGTCAAAGGTTCGAACCCACCAGCTGCTTCAAGGGAGAAAGACCTGAGAATCTGCTTCCATAGAGATTTATAGTCTTGGAAACCCTGTGGGGCAGTTCTACTTAGCCCTAATGGGTCGCTATGAGTCAGAATCGACTCGACCGCAGTGGATGGATACAATCCTAGAAACCCATTTTACAGATGGAGAAGCTAAGGCACTGAGTAGTTAAGACATTTGCCCAAACTCACACAGCTCGGAAGCGGCTGAATCAGAATCGAATCTTTCTCCAAAGGCCACGCTCTTCGCCTCGAGATGATAATGTCTCCTCTCTCAAACAGTCAGATTATTTCAGAATGTGTCGCTCTGTTTATGGTCCATCTCACCATTGGGAACACGAGGCCGTGAGGGCAGGGATTGTGACTGTCTCGCATCTGTCTGCTGCGCCGCTGCCTGTACATGGTTAGGCACTCAATACACTTGTCCCCGATCGTCTCTCCCGCTCACCCATCCCACCTATTCCTGGCCCAGTGGGGAAATGGACTCGGGTGTGGCTGAGCCCCCACCTCCCCATGGGCCTCGCTGATGCCGCCTCTCCCTACAGAACGTGGTGCAGCGCGTGGCGGCCCTGCCCCTGGTTAGGGCCACCCGCACTGCAGTCTCCGATGCTTACAGCATGGCCAAGGACAGGCACCCACTGCTGGGCTCTGCCTGCCGCCTGGCTGAGCACTGCGTCTGCGACCTGACCACCCGTGCCCTGGACCACGCCCAGCCGCTGCTCGACCACCTGCAGCCCCAGTGTGAGTCCCGGCCAGGGTCCCTGGGACTGAGGTGCCCCACTGTCCTGCTGTCCCTTGGTCCATCTGCACAGCATGTCCTCAGGTCGTTCCCCTGAGATGTCCGCCTCTGTCTACCCATCTTATCTGCCTGTGGTCTGTTTGCCTGCCTGTCCCCCCACCAGTCTGTCCCTCACCCTACTCCTTAGTCTGTGCCCTTGTCCCCCTACCAGTCTGTCCCCTGTCCCCTCAGTCTGTCCATCTCTCCCACCCTCAGTCTGTCCCCCTCTCCCACCCCCAGTCTGTCCCCTGTCCCCTCAGTCTCTCTGCTTGTTCTGTCCCTTTTCAATCTGATCACCTGGCCCTCTGCCCTTACCTGTTTACTGCCCTCCTCTCTGTCCCTGGTCCTGCTCCCTCGTCCACCGGCCAACACACCCTGATTCCATTTGTCTGTCCATCCTCCCACACGTGTCTGCCTATCTGGCCCCCCTGTCCCTGCTCCGCCTGCCCAGCCCCCCACATCTCCTGTGCTCAGAGCAGGACTCCAGCCTGGCATGAGTGAGGGGTGGGGCCAGAAAGACTCCCAGCATCTCGTCTGACCAAGGGAGAGGGTTGCCTACTAGGGGTCCCAGCCCAGGGCCTCCCCCACCCTCTTCTCAGCCGCTGCTGTGACCTGGAGCCTGCCTGCCAGGGCGTCTGTGCTGGGCAAGGCGAGGGTCACCTTGGTGTCAGGGGAAGTGGGGGCAGGGAGGAGGCAGGGCCTCCAGCCCTCCCAGGGAGTCTGCAACTTGCTGGAGAACCCAAGGTCCCTGCTGTCTCTTTCTCTCTGTCCCTCTCTCTTTCTGTCTCTCTCCCTCCCTCTGTCTCTCCCTGTCTCTTTCTATCTCTCTGTCTTCCTGTCTCTCTCTGTCTCCCTGTCCCTCTCCCTCCCTGTCTGTCTCTCTTCCTTTGTCTGTCTCTTTCTGTCTCTCTGCCTCTCTCTGTGTCTCCCTGTCTCTCTGTCTCCCTGTCTCTCCCTCCCTCTGTCTCTCTCTTTCTCTCAGTCTCTCACTCTCTCCCTCCCTGTCTGTGTCTCTGGGTCCCTGGCCCCTTCTGTGTCTCCTCTGTCCTCACTTCCTTCCTCTCTCTCCAGTGGCCACAGTGAACGACCTCGCCTGCAGGGGCCTGGACAAGTTGGAGGAGAAGCTGCCCTTTCTCCAGCAACCTTCAGAGATGGTACACAACAACCAGGCTGTGGGAACTCCAGGGGGGTGGACCAGTGTGGAGGTGGAGGGGAGATGGTGCAGCCACTTGTTAACTCAAAAAGAAGCGTCCAGATTAAAATAATTGGTGCCAACATTTACTGAGCACTTAATAGGTGCCAGTAGGCACTTAGTAATCCCGTCAGCAACCTGTGAGGGAGGGACTTTTCTTTTTTTATTAAGAATTTTATTTTGTTGAGAATATACACAGCAGAACATACACCAATTCAACTGTTTCTACACGTACATACAATTCAGTGACATTGACTACATTCTTTCAGTTGTGCAACCATTCTCACCCTGCTTTTCAAAGTTGTTCCTCCCCCATTAACATAAACTCACCGCTCTGTGACCCTCTCATCTAACCTTTCAAGTTGCTGTTGTCAGTTGGATCCCATAGAGATAGTCCTTAAAAGAGTACAATGCTCAAGGCAGATATTCTTTACTAATTAAGCTTAACTATTGTTTGATTTGGAGCCCTGGTGGTGCAGTAGTTAAGAGCTACCAGCTGCTAACCAAAAGGTCAGCAGTTCAAATCCACCAGCCACTCCTTGGAAACCCTATGAGGCAGTTCTACTGTGTCCTGTAGGGTTACTATGAGTCGGAATCGACTTGATGGCAATGGGTTTGGTTTTTTGGATTATTGTTTGATTTAAAGAAGACTTCAGGGGATATTTTTGGTTTAAGGTTTAAAGATTATCTCAGGGCAATGGTTTCAGGGGTTCATCCAACCTCCATGGCTCCAGAAAGTCTGAATTGCATGGGAATTTAAAATTCTGTTTGGCAATTTCCCCCTTTTGATAAAAGATTCTTCTGTAGAATCTTTGCTCAAATGTTCAGTAATGGTAGCTGTGCACCATCCGGTTCCTCTAGTCTCATGGCAAAAGAGGCAGTTGTTCATGGAGGCAATCAGCCACACATTCCATATCCTCCTCCTATTCCTGACTCTCCTTCTTCAGGGGGGACTTTTATCATCTCCCATTTCATAGAAGGGAAACTGAGGCCCAGAGCTGGGAAAGGAGCCAGGGGTCCCTGACTCCCAGCCCCATGGAGCTGGGGTACAGTGGCAGGGGAACAGGGCTGCAGACTTGCAGTGCCTGCAGTGAGGGACTCATCCTCCAGGTGGTGACCTCAGCCAAGGACGCGGTGGCCAGTGGCGTGACAGGCGTGGTGGGCCTGGCACAGAGGAGCCGGCGCTGGAGTGTGGAGCTGAAGCGTTCCATGAGCCATGCCATGGACGTTGTGCTGGGCAAGTCGGAGGAGCTGGTGGACCACTTCCTGCCAATGACGGAGAATGAGCTCGGTGAGGCCCCCAAACCCTCCTACCCAAGTCCTCATCCTTGTGTTATGGATCAGAGAGGTTCAGGACTCATCCAGGCCACAGAACACATCAGCAGGAAGTCGGAGCTTGAACCCAGGCCCAACCTCCCCGTCCACTTCCGTGGCTCCCTCCGACCTGCATCTCACCAGAAATCAGACCACCCCAGGCCCCAAGAGCCTTGTAAGGTTGGGGTCTCAAACTGGTGGCCCCCACAAAGTGTATTATTTGGTCTGTGCAATGTCTTTAAGGAGTTGTCTTATGCGGGGTTCTCTTGAGAAACCAAACCAGTGAAGCACATGATATATATACGTGTGTGTGGGTATATATGTGATGTGTGCGGGTATATGTGCGTGTATATATATATATGTGTGTGTATATATGTGTATGTATATGTGTGTATATGTGTGTATATATCTGTGTGTATATATGTGTGTATGTGTGTGTATACATGTGTGTGTGTATAAATGTATGTGTATATGTGTGTGTGTGTATACATATATATAGAAAGAGAGAGAGATTTATGTCAAGGAAATGGATCATGTGATTGTAGAAGCTGGCAAGTCCCAAGTCCATGGGTCAAGCATTAGGGGGGAGGCTTCTCCTGACTCATGTAACTGCAAGGGCTAACGAACCCAAGAGCAGCAGATCAGATGGCAGGTCACTGGCTCACCAGCTGTGGAGGCTGACAAACCCCAAGACTGGCAGGTAATATGGCAGGCTGCTGGCTCAAGTCCCAAGAACCGGAGGTCAGATGATGACAAGCCAGATGCAGGATCCAGAGGAAGCCAACAAGCTTTGCCAGAACGTCCATATAGATACTGGATTCAGGCCACACCTCTGAGGAAACTCCACTTACAACTGATTGGCTGATTACATCAGATCACATCATGAGGATGACTACATCCTTATGTAACTGCCAGACCACTGAGAATCATGGCCCAGCCAAACTGACGCACAGCCCTAACCATCACAGGAGCTCTGGGGGCACACCAGTTAAGCACTCGGCTGCTAACTGAAAGGTTGGCAGTTCAAACCAGCAGCTCCTCAGTAGAAAGACCTGGTGATCTGCTCCGATAAAGATTACAGCCTAGGAAACCTTATGGGGCAGTTCTACTCTGTCATATGGGGTTGCAATGAGTCAAAAACAGATTTGACGGCACCTAACAACACAACAAGTGAGCCCTGGTGGTGCAGTGGTTAAAGCGCTCTGCTGCTAGCCAAGAGGCCAGTGGGTCAAACCCACCAGCCGCTCCATGGGACAAAGATGTGACAATCTGCTTCTGTAAAGATTACGGCCTTGGAAACCCTATGGGACAGTTTTGCTCTGTTCTATAAGGTTGCTATGAGTCGGAGTTAACTTGATGGCAGTGAGTTTTTGTTTTTTTTGGTCAACAAAACAACAATAGCAATGTCTTTAAAATTTTCAAATTCATTTGTCTTCAAAATTTTCTAATTCATTTCCCACATTTAACCATCAGTAGATTTTGCATTGCGCTGGTCTACTAACCTAACAGTTGATGGTTCAAACCTACCCAGCGGCACCTACTGGATGCCAAGTCCTTTTCCAGGCATTAGCAGAAGAAAGGCCTGGCAATCTGCCTCCAAAAGATCACAGTCATTGCAAACCCTATGGAGAAGTTCTTCTCTTTAACAACAGGGTCGCCATGAGCCAGAATCGACTTGACGGCAGTGTGCTTGGTGGTTTGGTTTTCTAAGATTTTGCACTACAAATCCTTATTTCTGGTTTCTCTCGAAAAAGTAGACATTTGGGCCAAAGAGTGTCCACCCCTTTACCTGAGCTCTCTCAACCCACCATTCCCCAATATTCCACATCTCGTCTGCCTCACTTATTTTCCATACCTGCCCTGGAGACAATTTGATTTTTCAGCCCCTGCTTTATAGCACTAGAAGAATGTGCCAGCTTACCCCCATCCTCCGCAGAAAGGCAGGAGGTATTTATGATCCCATGTGTGTCAGAGTAGAACTGTGCTCCATAGGGTTTTCAATGGCTGACTTTTCGGAAGTAGGTCACCAGGCCTTTCTTCCAAGGCGCCCGTTGTTGGATTCAAACTTCCAACCTTTCGCTTAGCAGTGAGCACATTAGCCACTTGCAGCACCCAGGACTCCTGTGCATCAGGCACGTGTAATATATTCTTTAAGAGTCAGTTTAGCTGAGTGGTTAAGAATAGTCTGGAGCCAGAGGTTTGTTGTTGTTAGGTGCTGTCGAGTCGGTTCCGAGTCATAGCGACCCCGTGTACAACAGAAAGAAATACTGCCCGGTCCTGCGCCATCCTCACAATCTTTGTTATGCTTGGGCCCATTGTTGCAGCCACTGTGTCAATCCATCTCATTGAGCGTCTTCCTCTTTTTGGCTGACCAGAGTGCCTGGGTTCAAATCCCAGCTCTGCCTCTCGCACGCTGTGTGACTTCACCTTTATTTGCCTCAGTTTCCCTCATCTGTAAAATGGGACTAATAATGGTACCTACATCATAGGGTTGGGAGAAGAAGAAATGAGTTGATATCCGTGAAGGGAAATTATAAAATCAGGAGGCCGTGGGCTCGTCTACCCAGAAAGTGGGTGTGCAGATGGGAAGGGGGTGGCCGCTTTGACCCCCTCTCTGTCCCGTCCCCCAGCGGCTCTGGCAGCCGAGGCCGAGGGCCCGGAAGTGGCCTCGGTGGAGGAGCAGCGGAAGAATCAGGGCTACTTTGTGCGTCTGGGCTCCCTGTCGGCGCGAATCCGCCACCTAGCATATGAGCATTCTCTGGGGAAACTGAGGCAGAGCAAACACCGCGCCCAGGACACGCTGGCCGAGCTGCAGGAGACACTGGAGCTGGTGAGAGCCCTCTGCCTGCCCCCGCCCCGCCTCGTAAGCCAGTCAGCACAGATTGAGCGCCAGCTGAATACCTGGTCTCCAGGGGGAAGTGGAGCCAGGCTGAGCTGCCTCCAGCCGTGTGTGATTAGGTCTGCGGCAGAGGGGGGACCCAGGGCTGAGGGGGCCCGGGGGGCAGCCAAAGCTCCCTGCGCCTGAGAAGTCAGGGACGGCTTTCGTGGAGGGGATGTAAGAGCTGGAATTTATTGCCAGTTAAAAGAAGTGAGAAGGGAGAGAAAGTACCTCTTTCTGCACCCTTCCCCATCTTTCCGGGACCTTCAGCTCCCACCCAGCTTCTTCCCCAACTGTCCATCCCTGCTGCCTCCAGAAGAAAATAAACAGCACTTGTTTACTGAACTTAAGAAGTTCAGACGCCCCCAGACCTGCTCCTCTAGCATCTAACTTCCTCATCTCAGCTGAGGGCAGCTCTGTCCTTCCAGGTGCGCAAACCAAAACCCGGCAGTCCCCCTTGACTCCCCCCTTCCCTCCCCTCCCACATCCAACAAGGCAGCCAATACTGTCAGCTCTGCCTTCAGATTTTATCCAGAACCCGCCTACCCTTCTCCTCTTCTGCCTCCGCCTGCTCCAGCCCCATCATCGCCCGCCGGGACCAGTACAATCGCCTCCGCCCTGCTCCCCTGGCTCCGCCCTCGCCGCCCACTGTCTGTTCCCCCCGCAGCCGCCAGAGGGCGCCCGTGAGCACCTGAGTCAGGCCCGCCCCTCGGCTCACAGCCCTCCAGGGCTCCCACCTCCCTCAGGTCAAAGCGCAAGTCCTCCCTGCGGCCCACAGGACCCTGCATGACCTGCCCTGTCCCCTCCCTGCCCTCCCCTCCTCCCCTGTTCCCGTTGCTCACTCCGCTCCAGCCACACGGGCGTCCTCACTGTTCCTCCAACTCACCAGGCCCAGTCCTTCCTCAGGGCCTTTGCACGGGCTGTTCCCTCTGCCTGGGCTACTTTATTTTCCTTCTTAGCATGTCTCACTTCTGGAAATCACATCGTCTACTTCTTCATTTACTCATTCATTGAATCTCCCTCCAGACTGGTAGTTCCATGAAGGCAGGGACCTGCCCCACTCAGTCATTCAATAAACCACCTGCGTGCCAAGCTCTTTTTCAGGCACTGCTGCCCTGTTCACTGCTGTACCCCAAACACCTGGGAGAGTGCCTGCGCACAGTAAATGCTCAATAAATGCTTGTTCAGTGACTCAACTGAGCACACACTTTACATGCAACGGTGTAATAGATTCTTGGACCACCTCCATGTTTCCTAATACATGCTTTCTACAGATGGGGAAACTGAGGCCCAGGTAATCCGGGCACCTTCAGTTCTGACTCATTTCGCTTGATGTGGCGCCCAGTGGGGGCCAGGCCCTAAGCGGCAGGTGGGGGGGGGAGTCAGGGCCATGATGGGGGACACGCCAGGAGCTGGGAGCCCCAGAAGAGGAAAAGGGAGAAGGGAGGGCTTCCTGGAGGAAGTGGTGACTAGCTTAGGGGTTGAATTGGAGTGAGCCAGCAGGCGGATGGGTGGAGGGGAGCATGCACCCGGCAGAGGGCCCCACACGGGCAAAGGCTGGGCAGTGAGGCTGAGCTTTGGGGGAACCAGAGGTCGCTGGGTCTGGCCAAGGGCAGAGGAGAGAGGAGAGGGCGAGTAGGCTAGCCAGGGCTGGATCGGTGAGCGTGGAAGGATGCACACAGGAGGTGCTCACTAAATGCTTATTGAGGCCAGGTCTAGGTAGGCTCTGTCCTGGCCCCACACCCCACCTTGTAGTGCTGACAACTGCTGTCCTTTTCCTGCAGATTGACCTCATGCAGGGTGGGCCCCCCTCTGCCGCCCCCGTCTGCTCCGGGAAGGTGCACCAGCTGTGGGGGGACTGGGGCCAGCGCTCCCTGGAGAATGGCCGCCGCCGGAGCCAGGTGAGATGGTGGCCCTCGCCAGCTCACTGATGGGGGTGGGGAGACAGACAGGCGGAAGGCCCCTTCATTGGGTGTCCATGGGGAAACCGAGGCAGGGTGACGGCTCCATTGTGTCCACTGGGGAAACTAAGGCAGGGCTCTGTCCCCTACCCCGCAGGCGGAGCTGGAGACGCTGGTGCTGTCACGTAACCTGACGCAGGAGCTGCAGAGCACGGTGGATGCGCTAGAGAGCAACGTGCGGGGCCTGCCCCCCAGCGCCCAGGAGAAGGTGGCCGAGGTGCGGCGCAGTGTGGACGCCCTGCAGGCCGCCTTCGCCGACGCCCGCTGCTTCGGGGACGTGCCGGCGGCGGCACTGGCCGAGGGCCGTGGCAGCGTGGCGCGGGCCCACGCCTGTGTGGACGAGCTGCTGGAGTTGGTGCTGCAGGCTGTGCCGCTGCCCTGGCTCGTGGGGCCCTTTGCGCCCATCCTTGTGGAGCGGCCCGAGCCCCTGCCCAACCTGGCAGACCTGGTCGATGAGGTCGTCGGGGGCCCCGACCCCCGCTGGGCGCACTTGGACTGGCCGGCCCAGCAGAGAGCCTGGCAGGCCCAGCACGGTGACGGCCCAGGCCTCCAGGGGGACATCCCCGAGGAGGAGCCCGAGTCCCCCAGCCGCCCGGTCAAGCACACCCTCATGCCGGAGCTGGACTTCTGAAGTGCGCTCATGGGGGGCCGGGAGTCGAGGCACGCGCCTCCCCAACTCCCAACCCCCGCCCCTGCCGGGATCTCTGCTGCCGCCTTGTGGCCGCGCATGAGCACTAGCCGCCTTGGCCTTGGCCTGGAGTTCCCGATGGGGGCCGAATTCAGAATCCGAGACCAGCTTCAAGAAGCCCCGATAGTGCAGTGGTTAAGCGCACAGCTGCTAACCGAGGTTGGTGGTTGGAACCACTAACAGCTCTGCGGGAAAAAGACTCGGCAATCTGCTTCTTTAAAGATTACAGCCTAGGAAACCCTATGGGGCAGTTCTACTCTGTCACATGGGGTTGCTATGAGTTGAGAATCGACTTGAGGGCACACAGTAACAACAGACCAGCTTCACGGATATGTGGCCCTCTGTAATCTCTTCCTTGGACAGATGGGGACGCTGAGGTCCAGAAAGAAGCAAGGACTCCAACCCAAGGCAGATCCAACTTCAGCCCAGAGCTGAGTTCTTCATCTGTCTCTGGCCCATTCCCCCACCCCAAGAAGCTACTCAAAACGTTCCCCCGAGAACAGACATTGTGGCCACATTTTGGGTGCCAAGCTTCGACACAGGGCTTTGCAAAGGGAGGCCCTCTTCTCCCCTAGTTTGTGCATCCTGGACTGAGGGGTCCCCAGAGCCCCCCGGCTGCCTGCCAGACCCACTTGCTTTGCGGTTTGAGGTTTGTTGTCCAGAATAAAGGTGCTTTGTGTTCACAGGCTTCTGTTCTGGCCCTGGGGGGGTCTCGGTCCCAGGGCTCTGGGGGCCTCAGGGTGTGTAGCTGAAGGGAGGCGAAGGGGTGGCATTTCAAACCAGGGTTCAAGATGTAAAAGAAATCATGCCTCTCTGACCAGCTTGTCATCCTGCCTGGAATTCCATCATTAGTGCCCAGCCCCCTTGGGTTAGGCATTGCCCTCTCAGATGCAGCTCCCTGGAGTGGAAGCTGTTCTCACTTTAGTATGAATTATTTTTCTTAAAAACTGCAGGGAGCAGGGGCAGGAGGCAGAAGTCAGACAGGGCAGCCCCTCCTCCACCCACCTCCCCAGGGACCTGCAGGAGTCTGTCTGGTTTCTCAAACTGCGCCGGTTGGGGTGGGAGAGACCGAGGCAGGGCAAGGGCCATGGCTGGTCTCATGGGGGCCCTCCTGTCCTCTGACCGCATTCTTGGCTGCCTTTAGCCTCCCCTGTGTCTGGGCAGGGTGTTGAGGAAACACAGTCGGGGAAGGGGGAAGGGGGAAAGGGGAGGTCAGGGGTGGCCCCTGCTTTCCTGGGACCCGGCCCAGAGGGCAGCTCTGGGCATCCCAGCCACTTCCTCCCTGCCCCCTGCTCAGGGACCTCCATAGCCCCCTTTTTCCCCTCAGACCAAACCTCCTAGCACCTCACCCTGGCATTCAAGGACTTCGGCTTCATCCTCCAAGCTACCCAGAAACTTTGCTCTGTCCCCACCGAACTGTGCATGGCCTCCCACCTCTGGGCCTTTGCTCTGGCTGTTCCTGCTGTCTGCCCTCCTACCCATCCCCTGGCCCCAATGTCTCCTCCTCCAGGAAGCCTTCCCTGACTCCACCCCACCATGATAGCTCTCTCCTCGGACGAGCCACAGCTCATCTTCTCAGGGGCCTCGAGCCCTTCCTGCCTTAGAGTGACTGGCAGCCTTGCCCTCTCTTTCCCCCATGAAATTGGGGGCCCCCGGACAGCCAGGCCTTGCAAGGATGGGCAGGCATCACATGTGGAGAGATAAGGGAGGGGCATTTTGGCAGCGGGACCAGCCCAGGCAAAGGCTCAGCAGTGGGGAGATCAGTTTGCCTGGAACACAGAGGGAAGGGAATGGGCTAAGTCCTGGGATTCTGTGGGGGGGAAGTGGTTAAGGTATTGGGTTGAGCGCCATCCTTGCCTTCAAGCTGGGAGGGCAAGTGGCTTCCACTTCCCCTTTCTGAACCTCAGTTTTCTCCTCTGTAAAATGGGGATGAAAGTATTAAGGCAATCGTGCCCAAGCTTAGTAAAAGCTTCACTCATGGAAGCTGTTATTCATTCAACAAATATTTGAGTGCCTGCCATGTACCAGAAATTGTTCTTGGCCCTGGAGACACAGCCATGAGCAGAACAAAGATCTTGTCCTCTGAGGGCTAACAGTGAAGTAGAAGACATGGGTAACAAACAATAAAAATAAGTAAATTATAGGGTGTCTGTTAGTGTGTTAATTATAGTGTGTGTGTTAGAAATGACGAAGAAATTAAAAGGGGGGGGATGGGAGTGTGTGAGGTCCGAGGAGGGGTGTATACTTTTAAATAGGGAAGTCCAGGAAGGTGATATGTGAGCAAAAGCCCTTGAAAGAGGTGAGGGATTTGGAGGAAGGGCATTCCAGGCAGAGGGAACAGCCTGTGCAAAGGCCCTGGGGCACCACCAGGCCTGGTGAGTTGAAGGAACAGTGAGGAGGTCTGTGTGGCTGCAGCAGAATGAGCAAGGGAGAGGGGGAAAGGAGGGGAGGGCAAGGAGGGGACGACGGAGATTCTGCAGGACCCTGTGGGCCGCGGGGAGGACTTGGCCTTTTACTCGAGGGAGGTGGGAGCCCTGGAGGACTGTGAGCAGGGGAGGGACGGGCCCTGATACAGTTATGGTTATTTTTATTATTTTTTCTCCTGGCTTCTCCCCCTGATGCTGGGCTGTGGCTGTCCTGCGGGGAGGGGAGGGACACACCCCAGCTTTCCCCACATCTCTTGGGAAGCATTGCTGCGAGGACAGAGGTTGGGGGACACCCCCTTCTCTTCCCTATTTGGTAAACACAGTGCCGGCTCCAAGGAGACGGCCCGGGGGTCATCAGACCCGGCGGCTGGACCCTCCCTCCTCTGGGCTCAGCGCCCAGAGCCACAGTCAAATCTGCCTCCCCTGACACCTGACGCTGGGATCCCAGGGGCAGGCAGAGGGGGAAACAGCCCAGGGAGGGGCGAGGTGGCTTTTCCTCTACTTGCCCCTCCACAGCTACTTGGCACACAGGTTTGGGTGTGGGTTCAAATCCTGTCCCTGGCATTTCCTCGTGGTTATGGCACTGGGTTGAGCTACAAGCTTCCTCCTCCAGGAAGCCTCCCTGGGTTGGCTTTAGCCCACCAGGCCCGGATCTTGCTCCCAGCATGCCCCTAGCTCTGCTGATGCTCCGTCTTGGCTCTGGGGTCTGCATTTTGTCCCTTTCTCAAGGGGAGTCCCTTCTGGAGAGTGACATGTTCCCCTCCCTGCTCAGAACAGCCCCCTGTCCTCTTAGAGACCCTGTTTCTAAGCTCATGTTTGTCGAGCACCTGCTGGGAGCTAGCACTGTGAGTAAGCGGGTCACATGCATGACCTCATTCCATGTTCACAACAACCCTATGAGTTGGCCAAACATTTATTAAGTGCCAACTGTGTGCCCAGCACTGTTCTAGGTGCTGGGACATGGCAGGGAACAAAACAGATCAGGCGGAGGGGAGGGAGAGAGCTATGGAGAAGTCTGGGGGAAGGGTGTTCCAGGCAGAGGGAACAGCCCATGCAAAGGTCCTGGGGCAGGAACAGCAAGGGGGTCTGTGTGGCTGGAGCAGAATGAGTGAGAGGGAGGGTTGGGGGAGCAGAGGGCAAAGAGACTGGTGGGAGGAAGTAGGACCTTGTGGGCCACAGGGAAGAGTCTGGAAGGGGAAACTGAGGCACAAGGATGGTAGTAAGCCAGGGCATCCCAGTAGAGTAGGGATTTGAACAGCGCCCATTTCGTGGATGGGAATCAGAAGCAGTCCCTCAGGGGCACAGGAGGGGGCAGCCCAGCTGGCCATGAGTCACTTAAGCTGGTGGTGGGGGCAGGCACCGTGGGCAGAGCCGCCCAGTCCCGAGAGCAGGCAAAAGGTGCTGGGCCTGGGGCCTGGGCCGGGCGGGCAGGCACGTGACTGCCCAGAGTCCCCCCCACCCCGCACACTGGCCGCCTGCCTCTGCCGGCCTGGCCTGCGCCCGCCCCAGACCCTATAAGGCCTGGGAGCTGAGAGCGGAGCCAGCTGCCAGCCAGGACATCCGCCGCTCTGAGGGACTCTGCACAGCCCAGGTGAGCACGGCCGAGTCTGCCCTGGCTGGGTGGGCGGTGGGGGGCCCCTGGAGACCCCTGTTCACACACCTTCTCTGCTCTCTTCCAGCTGCTTCGAGTGTCACCATGTCTGCTCAGGATGAAGGCAGCCGGGATCCTCCCAAGTCCAAGGGCAAGGTAAAGGGCGGGGAGACTCCCTGCAGTTCCTCGACCCCCACCTACAGCCCTGGGAAGGTGACCCCCCACAGTCCTGTGTGGCTCTGGGAGACACGATACCAACTCTTCCCGCCTGTCCCAAACTGGGGGTGGGGGCGACAGGGCCTCACGCACACCTCAGGCCCCTCTCCACTGTGACCCCTGGCCAGCCACGGCCGCTCTCTGAGCCTGTTTCCCATCTGTGAAATGGGGGCCATGGGAGGAAAAGGTCTTGGAGACCCGGAAGCCGATCTATCTTCTCCTCTGTCCATGGAAGGCGGGTTGTATCTGCCCATTGCCTGGATGGGGATACTGAGGCTCAGAGTGGCTCAGACACTTTCTGGAGGTCACTGAGGGAGCAGGGGGTGGTATCTGAACCCTGGCCTGTCCGATACTTCTCCCAGCCCACTCCTGCCCCTGCTGCATCTTGGTCTGCTCACGTTGTCCCCCCTTCCCCCACAGACCCTGAGCAGCTTCCTGGGGTCCCTGCCCGGCTTCAGTTCTGCCCGGAACCTTCTGGCCAACACCCACAGCTCGGCAAGGGAGGCCCGACCAGTCACGGACCCCACAGGTGCCCCTGCTCCCGAAGTCGCCCAGCCCCAGGCTCAGGGTGAGTGCACAGCCCTATAGGGGTGTCTGAGGGAGGACCCCAGGTAAAGGAAACCCCCTAGTGGAGGCTTCCAACCTGGGTGCCGGATGGGAAAGACCATTTTGGGGAGCATTTCCTGTGTCTCATTAGACACCACCAGGCT